TTTTGTAATTATGTTGAAGTCTTTATTTGTTAATAATTAGGGTAGAGTCAGTCATAATTTTAGGAGATATATCTCAGATGGATTTGAGATTATCATAGCTTGTAGGAGTAGGAGATGTTATGCTTGGAGAGCAAGGCTGATGATTTAACTTGGTGGACAAGGTTAACTCATCTATAAATAGGGATAGTTTCTCTGTATTTTATGCATTAAAAGTTTTTCAATTAATTGGAGAAGGATTTCCAATAAGTTCTTGTTCTAGATTTTTGTTTTCTGTTTATCGAGATCTGGTACCAATAACTTCACAAACATCCTAATGTCAAATAAAAAGTGGGAAAACAACTCATATCGGGTCTAATCAATTCACCACCCTTAATAAATGTATGCAACAAAGAGATGAGATTGTGCGTGAATAAACTTAACTTGTAATTTTTTTCCTGTTAGATATTGTCTATGTTGAGATAGGTTCTTCTCAAAATCTTCTAGCATCAAATGAATGCAATGTCTTGCACATGGAGTCCAATACAAGTTCTTTCTCTTCTCCATTTATAATTCTCCGGCGGCCTTATAATTTGTTGCATTATCTGTCACAGTTTGGATGCCATTTTCTTTCCTAATCTCTTGAACAAGATTACCTAACATCTTATACATCTTCTCACTGGTTTTAGAAATGTCATATGCATCAAGTGTTTAAAAAAAAGTGCACATTCAGGAAGTAAAGTCCTTGTCCTCTTGTTGGTTCATTCATCCGTCATCGCACTATATCCGGATTTCTTCCAAGAGGTTTTGTGCTCCTCCACTATTCAATTGGTCTTTTCAATCTTTTCTTTAAGTATTTGGCTCTTTACCTCATGATAAAATTTAGGCTTGAATCTTGGACATGTTGAGGCAACCAAACGAAGCGTTTTCTTGAATTCTTCACTATTACCTACATTTAGGGGTATTGCATTGTTGAAAAGAATGGAGGATTTGTCTCACATGCTTCTTCACTTGGATTCTCTTTCTCTTCTCTTGTTCTCTTCTTGGCATCATCTCCTCCCCTCCGCGTTTACCTTGATAGCCTTCTTGTTAATCCTTCCACTCGATTTAAACATAATTTTACTTCATTTTTTTTGAACGGAAAACTCAATTATTGGGTCCTTTTCGTCCCGTCACTGTCTCCAAAACTCAACCAGAAGGAAAATAAAGCTGTGTACTTTATTTGTCTGCAAAGGGAAGCTTTACCAGTGGCTATATACTTTCCCCCCAAAAAAGAATGGCAATGAGAAAAGAGAATCCGGAAATCGCAGGAGATGGGACATGGAGATGTGAGTAGGAAGTCACAGGAGAGAAGAGGAGAGATGGAGATGCAGATCGAAATTCGCTGGAGAGGAGTGGGAGGAATGAAGATGTGAAGTACTGAAATAATTTTAAAGAGAAGAATTAGGACAATTTAGACTTCTTACTGTTTGAAGATATTCAACGCTGCTCTGAAGAAATTAGAAGCCACAGAATATAGGACGATTAAGATTCATGTTCAACTCTTTCTCCTTTATTTTTTCCTGTCAGGATCGAATCGTGCCACCATCCGGCGATTCTATCTCGTGTCTTGATGATCCTCACCTATCATAGCCATTTCTGATTCAGGTGAACAGTAGTCATACAACCGTATGATGTTGCGATCCAGATTGAGATGTTAATCACCTTGCTTGTATCTAGCATAAAGTTTCTGTTAGGAACCTATCTGGACACCTAAGCAAATGACTGTTTTTGGAGTCGGCTAATGGTTTTCTATCTAAAGTGCGCATTGCATGTTTGTATTATTGATGCCTTAATACAATTTTCTTCTATTTTTTGCTTAATTTGTTGATGATTTCAACTCGACAGGCAAGAAGATGCCCAAGAGTTCCTATGCTTTATCATGCATCAAATGCATGATGAGCTACTCAAGCTTGAAGGGAAATCACTTTTAAGTGGAGGAAAGTCATCTCTTGTTTCTTCAGAAGAAGATGACGAGTGGGAAACTGTTGGCCCGAAGAACAAATCTGCTGTAACAAGAATGCAAGCGTTTGTTCCTTCACAATTAAGTGCTGTTTTTGGGGGAGAATTGCGGAGTGTTGTGAAGGCTATGGGTAAGTTTGACAACATCAAAAGGAAAGAATCCGAACTTTTTTTATGCTTTTTTCCCCATAGGTTTTGCGCACTTGATCCACATTTGCATTTATGTGTGACAGGGAATAAAGACTCTGCTACCGTTCAGCCATTCCTTCTACTCCACCTTGATATTTTTCACCACACTGTACATACCATTCAAGATGCTCTTCGTCTGTTTTCAGCCCCTGAGACGCTTGATGAGTACCGAACATCCCGAACGGGGAAGGTAATTCTTTTTAATGTGCATGTGTATGTGTTGTCGGGTTTTTTTCTCTATAATCATTTTTTGTGCCCCCCACCTCCACCCCTTCTCCCACAGTTACTTGGGAGAATGCTTTGTTGTTTGTATTATCATTTTTGTACACCCCTTCCCCGAATGCACGGATGTAAATTTGCCCCTGGAAGCCGCCAAACTTGCTTCCAAAGTGCTGTTTTTCCATTGCATTTTAGGGCGCACTCTTTTGGAATAATGGATGTTGTATTGTATTATTATTACTTTCAGGCTGGAATGGGAACTGCCAAAAAATCTGTTGCCATTAAAACACTTCCCAAGATCATGGTTTTACACTTGAAGCGGTTTGTTTATGGCAGTCATGGAAGCACCAAATTGCACAAACCAGTTCAGTTTCCTCTTGAAATGGTGATAAACCGTGATTTACTTGCTGCTTCAATTCAAGAGGTATTATTCCTCCTTATTTCCCTGAAATGTGCTTTAACATTTTTTTTTTGCATTGAATCTGCAGTTCTGCATTATCATAGCCTGGTGAAATAAAATTTTTGGATTGTGTTCATCATAAAAATGGATAAATGTGAAAACTTTGTTTGGGACATGTGATTTCTTGATCATATATATTGACATTCTATATTATTGATTGCATGATTTATGCATTTTCTGATCAAACTTGAATTTATTTTTCTTGATCTATTTTTCTCTTCCCTGCAAGTGGAAAAAACCTATATGATTGATGGCTTATTCTTTCATCTTGATGTTCCTTCATAAGAAACTTGAAACATCAAGGCCATCCGCTGTAAGATGGTTGAAATGGTTTTTTTTCATTCTTTCATGAATTTAGTGTTTAATTTTCAACTACTTTTAAGACTATTTGAAACTACCAATTCTCTTTGTTGTTGTTGTCGTCCAGAGTCGGAAATATGAGCTGGTTGCGACAATAACCCACCACGGGAGGGAATCATCAAGGGGACACTATACTGCCGACAGCCGCTACCCTGGTGGGAAATGGTTACGGTTTGATGATGCATCAGTTACAACTATTGGCATCAGCAGGGTGCTACATGACCAGGCTTACATCCTTTTCTACAGACGAATCTAAACCCGATCGACAATCATGATTATATACAGAGGCAGGAGACATGATAGGGGAAGAAAACGACCACATGGGTAAGCTAATGAGCGATGAGTTCATCTTAATTACAAGTAGATTGCAGTTTTTATTGTATCTCCAAGGCGTTTGTTTTACCAGTGACACTGTTAGCAACGAGATTTAACATGTACTACTCACGATATGCAATTTTGCTGCTATTTATATAGAGTTGTTCCCATCATTGTGATTTGCAGTGAAAAACTGAGGGTGTCGTTTTTGTTTGATAATGAACTTTCAGTGTTTCGCCCTTCTAATCCCCCAGAGGAAATTTGGGGTTCGTCCCAATCCACTTCCAGGTACGTCCATCTCAATATGGCGCATGAGTTGAGTTTTGAATGCGAAACTTCAGATAGGTATGTTCACCCACCCTCTCAACTACGTGAGTCACCCTATGATGGAGCGGGTCGATGAATGTCCCTTGGCCGGT